ATACCAAGGAAGAGGAGGTATTCGTATCCTGAACGAATCGGTTGTCAAACGATTCCCTTGCATTAGTATTTAGCTGCTGTTTGCCGTTAAAGACAGAATATATAAGTTGTTTATGTTAAAAATTACTATTACCTTTTGTAACCTATTTTCCCTATGCATTTTGTACAATCTTGTATATGGGCAGAGCTGTTAGAATGGACTGAATGATGTGCGTATCTATGTATCTACATATTTTATGCTTGTATATTACTATACATGTGCTACTTCAGATCAAAGTAAGGTTAAATAGAAAGAGATAGATAGATAGATAAGTAGGTAGCAACCTGAAAGTATGCTACCAATCCAAGAAATCTTGAAATTATTGATCTAAATCATGTGAAATTATGCGTGCGTATGTATGTATGTATGTATGTGTGTTTGCGTGTGTGTGACTCCATGTTGTTTATTTTCTTTAACTATGAGGTCTCTAACCATAGCAAGCATTAAGATGTGTTGATTCAAGGAATCTAGATTACAGCAAATGCCAGACAATAACACGAATAATGCATGTGTACACATAATTGTTCGAGTGTACCCCGCCCGTCCCCACCTCCTCGCCATCTTAACCTCCAATTGTCACGTTTATTATTTTTGGTCACTTTACCTTACGTGTTTAGTCTTTTCATTTGTGTAGATATGATGTAAATATGTGAACTACAGTTGTTTACGCCTGTGTGTTCCATGTTAAGTGGTGTAGTAGTGAAGGCAGCTGATGTCTGCAACTTGGTGGAAATGCTTCTTTGTGACGTGCAAATTTTCTAACCCAAATAAAAGAACTATCCGACTTAACATACAGTTAGCTGTAGACGACACAGCTGTAAAGACTGTTAATATAAGCTAAAACCAAAAGTTAGTAAAAGCCATTGCATTTCTACCGCCTCATCCGAACTGATTGACTCACTCAAGAAGACTGATTCCAGTGAGCTCCGATTATGATGAGGAGCGAAAGCTACTCAAACAAAAACTAACAAGAAGTCTTCGTACCGATCATGAACAGTGGTGGGTGACAAAAGCGAAAGAGATGGAAAAGGCATCGGCGGTAGGTAACACCAGACAACTATTTGAACTTATCAGGGAAACAGGTGGCAAAAGACAAATGATAAGTGAAACAATCTCGGAGAAAAATGGCACCATAATTAGCGCCCAGGATAGACGACTGGAACGCTGCAAAAAAAACACACTTTGAGTCGCAATTAAACTGGCCTACAGCCATGCTCAACTTACCCAGCATTCGCATATGCCAGTTTACGCCGTCTCTCGCGTAGACGTGATATCCGACTATCGAACAAAGGGCGGGTGTACTGCTCATCAGTCCGCTCCGTCCTCCTTTATGGCCGGCTGTGAGACCTGGCCATTGAGAGTGAAGGACATGAAAATCCTGGCTGGCTGTCTTTGATCATAGGTGCCTGCGTTCTATCTCCCGTGTGAAGTGGTATAATAAGGTGTGCAATATTGAGGTAAGGCTTTGTAGACTGCTAGGTAGGAAGGGGAGATCAATCGACAGGGTTGTGTGAAGCTACATCGACTGAGATGGTTAGGACGTGTGTTACGTATGCCTAGCCTAGCCATCGCCTTCCTCGACAATGGGAAATGTTAGCTGATATATGGTCAGGCTGGAAAAGAGCTAGCGGCGGTCAAGCCAAAACATGTCGGCACCAATCAATGAAATCTACGACAGCTAGTCTAAGCCACGTAGGAAGGTGTAGACTTCCTGACTGACTGGTTGGCGTCCACGGGATGGTGAACACCAATAAACGCTGGAGACAATCGGTGATATGGCTCAAAATCGTTGTTGTCAATGGCTAGCGCAGATGCATCCACAGCCCTTGTGACTTATAATTTCCAATGAAACTATATTGTTCTTCGTTACTAGTATTCCCTTTGTCTCATATCCCTGTCTATTGTCTCTATTCTGCATTTCTTTTTAATTTCTTCTGTCGTTTTGTGTGCTATATGGAGGGAGTGTGGCGACTTGAACTGCCGCAGCATATCGGTGCAAAGTTCAATGTTGAAAGCAGACAGACAGACAGAGAGAACATTTGTGTTGACTGCAGACGATTTCGAAATCGATTTTTAGAGGGATAAATGCCAGTCTAGCCTTTCTAACTCTGGTTGTGACACCCTCAGCTCTGCCGTCTGCCTGTAATTGAAGCGATGCTGCCTAGTCAGATAAGTGAAGGAAGTAACCTCTATCAAATCTCTCCTTTGTTGATGGTGATTAGTGTTGGTTGTTGTTGTTGCTATTCATTGGTTGGTTATCTGGATCACCTACCTCCGTCTTCTCTATGTTCACTTGAAATCCGCTTTTCCCTACCTGTTCCTTCAGCCAGTTTGTTTGTTTTCGAGTTTTTTTTTGTGACATTGGACATAAATGATCCATTGTGCAAAATCCAGATCTTCTAGAGTCTTCTTAGCAGTCAGTCCAACGTGTATTCCAATCCTGTCTTCTCACTCCCTGTACATAATCTGACGCATAATCCAGTCCACCACAATTAAGAATATCATCGGTGGTGGTGATAAGAGGCTGGCAGGCTTGTCTCCTACTCTTGTATTCACTTTGAACCCTTCACTGAGTTTTCCGTTGTTGTGAATAATCGATCACCACTTGACACATAATCATAACCGTGTTGTATTAGTTTCCAAATCATTTTGCAGTCAACGCTTTCTGATGAAGGCGTTTTTTTAGAATTCAATGAAGTTGAGGTTTTGACTGCTATTATAATTATGCTTCGTTCCATGATGATCCGTAGAGTTGCAACTTAATCAGCACATGATTCGCCTTTCCTAAATCTAGCTTGTTCTTGTTGGCAGAATTCTGTATCCATCCAGTGCATCCTTTATTCTCTCCAGGATGACGCGACGTAATATTTTTTTTTACTTGGCATGGACAACAGCATGTTTCCGCACCAGTTCTTCCAGTCTCTAGGTGCCTTTTTCTTCTTAACCAACATTTTCCAGTGGTGGCGTGAGCGTGTATCTACTGTGATCTCTGAGCCCATTTTCAATGTTTCAGGAGAAATTCATTCTGGTCCTGCTGCCTTCCAGGATGGTCTTCAGTGGTCTGATTGCATTCAAGATTCGTGCTTTTGTTACAGGATTGGTAGGTAGTCCTCTACGCGTGTTGTTGGCGGTATTTCTGGACGTTTTGCAGATGAGATAACCGACTGAAGAATCCTTTGAAATGATCAGAGAATTAAGTTCCCTTGACCATATTTTATTTGTTTCATCATCTGGGGTTGATCTCTTCCCGAATAGCGACCTGAGGTTGTTTTGCTAATCTTACAGCGTTCTAACGCATAATATAGTTAACGCCACAACAAATATTTTTATAGTTGTGCAAAAATAAATTCGATAAAAACACGATATACTACTGATTGCTTGAAATGAGTAGTTGTATACGACTCATCGTGGCATCCAGTAGTACTTACTTACTGGCCAGTCAGATCGAAGTGATGTAAACACGGGATAGTCGTTTTCAGTTCCAACTACACGATTTCTGGCTATCTACACTTGGTTGGACTGGTATTCGCATGAATCAATTTAATCGGCTCGCTCTGAAATGAGCGAAATGGTCATCCGTTGGTTAGATCACTTCGATCTGAATGTTTAATGTGATGTTTGGTATGATACTACTCATCCCAATCTATCAGTAGTATATAGTTTGATGCAAATATGTTTGCTTTCTCGATTACTATTTGTGGTATCAAGCGGAACATATATAATGTATGTGATCTGATCTCCAAAGGAAACTGTGGGGAAATTTCTGCGGTCTTTAACTCTGTAAATCTAACCATCGCCTTCCTCGACTGGCGATGTCAGCTGATATAAGCTGGCTCAGGTCGGGAAAGAGCTGGCTAGTGGTGGTTTAACTAAATTGTTTTCGACATAGAACTGTGTACCGATGTGCAGCTGTTCGAGTCGCTACACTCCCTCCATATAGCACACAAAGCGACAGAAGAAATTAAAAAGAAATGCAGAATAGAGACAATAGACAGGGATATGAGACAAAGGGAATACTAGTAACGAAGAACAATACAGTTTCATTGGAAATTATAAGTCACAAGGGCTGTGGATGCATCTGCGCTAGCCATTGACTAAAACGATTTTGAGCCATATCACCGATTGTCTCCAGCGTTTATTGGTGTTCACCATCCCGTGGACGCCAACCAGTCAGGAAGTCTACACCTTCTTTTTTGGCTGACTGGCTTAAACTAACTGTTTTGGAATTCATTGACTGATGAAGTCATGTTTTTGTTTGACCTCCGCTAGCTCTTTTCCAGCCTGATCATATATCAGCTAACATTTCCCATTGTCGAGGAAGGCGATGGCTAGGCTAGGCATACGTAACACACATCCTAACCATCTCAGTCGATGTAGCTATAATAATGTACATGAAATATATATATATATATATATGTGCTGATATCCGTAAGAAAACGATCTGTTGCCTGGTCCTTGTCTTCTGTTGTTACAGTATATGTATGGAGAGACGTTCATCGACTGGCATAAAAATGTCACATAACAGGAAGATATAGATTTGATGTCAGAGAAAGCAAATGATACAGAGTTGCGCGGAGATACATGGCAGATGTGCATCGGTTTGGGACCACATAGATGGTTCGTGAGTATTCTACTGTCGCGCCACCGACTTACCTATCGTCGGTGAGAAGTAGTTGTCCATGCTCAGTGGTAGTCAGTAATGAGAAGGAGTATGTGTTATTCAACTGAATTTTAGAGTTTCCCGGTCTCAGGTTGACACTCACTGGGCAATGCAGGTGTATCCAGCTGACGGACGTGTCCCAAATAGGACGAAATGCGTGTTATCCCAGATTCCTTTGTCAGTCACCATCCACCGATTAGAGTATGGGTTAGTATGATTGAAACGCGCCTATATGTATGATTTTCATTTTTGTGGTTTTACTCTCTCCTATGTTTATTTGTTTGTTTGTTTTTTCGTTTAGGGTCTTATCACAGGTATTCGAGGTCTTTGCGGTGGACTTGGTCCAGCATTATTTGGTTTATTCTTTTATATTTTCAGGGTAAGTTGATGAATTCGTTTTATTTTGTTTTGTTTCGTTTTTGTCTGATAATTATTCATTACTTTTAAGTATTGATTTTTGTGTAAGGAATTTAGCTTGATTGGTTGGAGGATTTCATCATGAGCTGACATCGGTTAGAGAATAGTTGGAAAACCTACAGGGAGTACTGGACAACCACCTGTTTCGTCGGCCTAGCTTGGAGCTCCTCATCAGTATGCACCCACCAAAGGGGAGTTCGAACCTAGGACCTTTTGGTATCAATGCGATCTCGTAAACCACTCAGCCAATGGCCCATGAATTATTATTATTATTATCATCGGTTCAATGCCCTACGAGGGAAACAAAACGTCTCAGCTGTACTGATTCATTCTGTTTAGTTCTCTGTCATTATTTTCAACTGGCTAACTCTACTACTACTACTACTGCCTAGCTGGCGTCTTTATCTCTCCACATGATCTTCTCCGTGTCAGATGTCTCCGTCAGACAGATGACTTGTCGTTTTCCTTTCTGGATTCTACTGGATAATCTGCTTTGTAATGTTTCTACTTGTGAGGGTCTTCTCAGTGTCATATATTCCAATCCATTTCGATTTTTTTCTTTCTTTTGCATATATTTGTTGGACAATTTCTCAATGTTTATGAGTTTATTGTCAAACCTCTTTGATATATTGAAGCTTTACGGCCACCTCGGCAGTCTGATTTTCAGTATCTCCTAAGGGTATTACTGAAAGAGCAACTATTGATAAAAGTCTCTGCAGTAGTGTAGGCCTTGTTTGAAAAAAAAATTTTTGTTAACACCTGCACCAAGTCCGTGAATGCTAAAGAAACAATGATTCATTCGCCTGACAATTAGGCTATTTTCAAGAGTTTGTTTGTCTAGCGACTGGATTTGTTACCAGTTCTATCACAGTTTGATAACTCAGTGTTGGAGAACCACTGGAATGAGAACAAGGCGGCAGTACTGGTGGACAACCAGCTGTTTCATCCTAGTCTGTGACTCCACTGGAAGTAAGCATTCACCGCCAAAGTTTCTAACCCGTGATCTTCAGGTTACATGGAGATCTTGTAGAGACCACTCAGCCAATGGGACCTAACTCAATGGCTAGCCAATGAATTCCGACTTCTACCAATTCGTGATTTAGTGCGACTGGCACAACCAGCCGATGTTATCGGCCAATTTGTAAGGATGTGCTGACCAGTGACTACTACTGACTGCATGAAGAAGTTACCTGGAGTTCCAGTGAGAAATCGTGACCATTATGAGGGTCCATTCGGTTGGAAGTAAGGACAAACTACTCTCCGCCAATGATATTGGCTGATACGATACCAGTTGCGTAAATGCATCACAAATTGGTAGAAGTTCGAATTTATGAGCTAGCTAATTGAGTCAGTACCCTCCTAGTGACTGAATGGTTAAACGAGCTTGTCTTGTAACCGGAAGGCTCTGAGTTCGAACCCTGGCGATGTGGGTGCGTACTTCCAATGAGTCCCAAACTAGGTTGACAAAACAGCTGTCCACTAGTAATACTCCTCTGTTCTCTGTGGTTCTCTAACTGTGAGTTATCAGTCCGTGATCAAACTTAAAATAAATTGGGCTATTATTATACTTCCCTAGAATGTTTGTGTTTGTGTGTGTGTGTGTGTGGCCAGTGTGTGTGAGTTTTAAGGAATTACGCTTGTGTATAATACACTTCTTAAGCTAATTTACCCCAACTTGTATCATCTATGGGGATGTGTTGTAGTCATCAATGAAGCTTTTTGTTGATTCGTTAGATTATGTAATTTAGGGAAAACGAAATGCTGCTCATTAACTCCTTGCAATCTCATGCAGTTAGCAGTGAACCAAATCTTTTTGTGTGTGTATGAATGTGGGTGGGGGGGCGGAGATATTGATATCACTTAGTAGTACGTCTAGCGGAGCGTCGGTAGCATAGTGGTTAGGACACTCGCTGACCATGCACATGATCCGGGGTTCGATTCCCGACCGATGCACTCCTATACCTCGCCAAACCAGTAGTAAAAGTCAGTAAGGAGGAAAGGTTAGGCATGAGGCTAGCAACCTTATGCATTTAAAAATAAACACCACTGCTACAGAAACTTCAAGCCTCTAGCTTGAAGCCCTATGTTCCACCGGGGAACGTGACGGGAAAAAAACGTCTAGCGGAATTCTAAGTTATCATCCAATGGTAGAAGGTCGAGTGTCTAAATCAATCAATCAATCAGCCACAAATCCACATGTATTCTGTAAGTCCTAGTTTAGGTAGGCGGAGTGGGATTCGAATTTCTTTTTAGAACTTATTGTTCATTGGTGGCACAGTGGTTAGGACTCTCGCCGACCAATCACATGGTCCGAGGTTCGATCCCCTGCCGATGAACACCTGATATCTATGGTCGGCCTGCAAAAATTTGGGCTACCGATATCACATGCTGAAAATTCCATACCTGTACCAAAATACAGTGTGGAATCAAGCTGTAATCAAAAAAAAATTTTTTTATAATGGGAGGCAGGCACTCCCACTAACTCATGGTACTGTTTGGCGCTAGTTACATCAAAGTGATCTGAATAACTGGACGACGTCTGTTTCACTTATTCGGCTGACATGTTCACCATTGGTGTGCCCCACAGGCCGGTTGAAGTCACTCGAAATCTGAGTGAATTTGTAATATATGGGGGGATAGAGAGTGACTGAGTGAGTGAGGCGAATTATCGAATTTCAGTTTATTCAATTTAACGTGGAAATTCACCATGGTGTTTCTGTTTTGGAAATTCAAAACAAATTCAAAGACTACGAACTGTATAATTTGCAAATTTCACATCTTTAACTCGAAACATTTTTGATGATTGAAATTCGATTGTTCACATACTCATAATTTTGGCGTCATATGATTTCTTTTATTGACTTTTAGAAACTTTTAGCATACAATTGGTGGATGGTGGCTAGCAGTGGGATCCAGGATGCGCACTTCGTCCTATTTGGGGCTCGTCATCTGGATGTACCTGCATTTCTCAGTGAGTGATGATGATGTTCTCACCGAGGCTCGAACCCAGTGCCCATAGTTTCAAACGCCAAAGCGTTATCCACTAGACCACTTGGGCCACGAGAGCCACCTCTTGTGCAACAAGTGGTCTAGTGGATAACGCTTTGGCGTTTGAAACTATGAGCACTGGGTTCGAACCTCGGTGAGGACATCATCATCACCCACTGAGAAATGCAGGTACAGTCAGCTGACGAGTCCGAAATGGGGCGAAATGTGCATCTTGGGTCCCACTGCTAGCCACCATTCACCAATTGTATACTAATTAAATGCCGAGACATCGTCGAAGCATCTGCACAAGAAGCCGACATGTCAACCTGAGACCGAGCACTTCGGTCCAATCAATCGACGGGAAAATCAAAAATTCTATTCAATAATTTAAAAAATTTTTGTTGCGATGTTTGTTTGTTTTATTGATGAACATCTCATCTGATTATTTGCTGAGCATAGTATTTAAGTTTTCTCCTCAGAAATAATTTTGATTATACTGAATGTGTGTGTGGGATCTTGTATGGTTGCAATGTTCAATGGCTGAATGTTCCAGATTTGATCCCAATTCATTTTCATAAGCTGATGTACAGTAATCGTGATTATATTTTATAAAGAAATCATTAGACCAATCAGATACTGGTGAAATTTGTCCTCGAAAATTGTAAGGTGTAATCTAGAAGGGGTGACTAACTGAAGATTAGTCACCGAGAGCAGAAGTTGAAATGACGTAATAAGTGTGAGAAAATGATTAATCTACCTCTAAAGATTAGATGCCGCCTTTGCTCACCTTGATGTGTATTTATCAGTTTACTTGTTCGTGCGAAGCAAACTATATCGGCTGTACGCAACGTCAAGTCCGCAAATGTATTCTGGAACACTATCCGGCCTGACTAGCCAGAGGAGAAAAGAAGAATAGTAGCATCTCCATCCTCGAACACCTTTTCAACCCTAGACATCGAGCCCACCCCCACTTGCTTGAATGCTTCACAATGTTTCACGGAGTCCCTCAATATCTTACTTACATAAAGAACTTCAAGTACGCCGTCTGTAGGTAGTTGGAGTCACTGGCTATTCAGGATCTGAAACCACACCTTTGCATTCAAAAGCACCACATACATTCACTCGTCCTACTGTGGCTAGAGTAACGTTCTTACTATGATTTTCCAGATATCAGGGACAGGTGGTGAATCCTTCCTATTACAACACGTGTTCTCTTCATTTGATTCGATAAACAAAGCTTCTCTGTTATCAATCTCTCGCCCCATTCACCCTGTCACATTAGATTTTAAAACTGTCATCTTTTCTCACCCGTCCTAATATATGGTTGTGTGTAATTGCATGTAATGAGTGCTATAGCTGAACTATTCTCTAGATTTCTTATCATATTCAGCTCAACGAATCTAGATTTTGTTAGGTTTTTATGTTCGGCTAGTTTGACTACCCGTATCTTACTAGTTTGACCTATGTATTTGACCTGAAAACCATTTCAACAGGGTATTAGATAAACTAAATTGTTTTGCTTAATTGGCTGCACAGGATTCTTTAGCCGACAAAGCTTATTTTTAATTGAGTTTATGGGGGTGGTTCGAATGCCAGCCACTTTTATTCCTGCCAGCATTGTTATGAATTCTGCGTAAGCTAGTTCCCGAGGTTCCTTCCTTGTATGGAATTACTACTGATGATTTGCATTCCTTATTGTTGGTGTTGTCTTGTGCATATGTGCATATCACATGCATGTCTTAATTAATATTATCATTATTATTATTACTAATGATAATAATAATAATAATAATAATAATAATAATAATAATAATAATAATAATAATAATATAGTATAATATAATAATAAGAAAACTATAAAACTCAAGTTTCAAAGTCGTGTGATTATAATTGATGAAATGATTATGAACTGAAATAAATTTTGTTCGAAACGTCGTCATCCAGTAAATAATACTGTTTAACTGTGTGATACGT